CTGAAGTAAAATCCACCGATATGCACGGCATTCTCACTACAAATATAAACAAACGTCGCGGGGAAAAAAAGACGAGGAGGAAAAAATGCCAGATCTTCGCCTCGGCAATGTATTCCAGCTACCATGCCGGCGTATCTCCAGAAGGTGGACTCGAAGTGGGAGAAACCTTGTGACTTTTTTTAGAAGCCCTTTGCGCGCAAACTAATTTATTCTGGCGCGAAATGAAGATTAACAATATGTATACTGAAAGCTAATCCACGACAAGAAGATTTTCGCACTGTAGCGCGACATTTTAAATGCCTATTTTTACAAGTACGCGGAGAAAGTTGTCCACTAGTTTAACTTTCTTAAGATGAATTTACTCCACAAAAGCAAAATGAAATGTTTTATCTCTATGTTGTTTACGTGCCTGATTAGAAGGCAGAAGTAAATTCATCATACAGACCCCATCAAAATGAATGAAACGAATGAAACGGAATGAATGAAACGGAATAGGTCTGGGACGGTTTAGTTTCTACTCAGCAGCTTCTTTGCTTTTATAACAAAAATTTAATGTCGCAGTCTGTTTTAAACGCTGGCATATCAACGCGCACAGTCACTGAATGAAAACAACAGTCACGATCACGTTCTTCGAAACCCACCAGACGCGCGCGACGTACCACTGTTATGGTAAGCATGATTATCCTAAAGGTGTTAATGTTCTCGTGACAGTCTTCGCACTGAAGGTGTAAATGGTAAACCGAACGGTCGCTTTGATCATCAGAAAGACCTGTCAACTTTGATGATTTAACTGATTAAATTACGGGACAGAAATTGTACTGCATGCGGCTCCTCGTGAACAAAGAAGCTTTGATCACCCTTCCTGACTAATTGTGTCGGCTGAAATATCAACTTGCTTGACATTTCTATTAGTCCGCTTAAAATGCTTGAACTGTTAGTGTCTTTTTCTTGAAGTTTTAGTAAATGCTTTGTAAGGAGATTTGACGTTTCATCAATATATACTTTTTAAAAAAAACTAATTCGTGCCCCGGTTTCCGTTCAGTTTTGCCTTTTCTACCTCATCCACACGTATCCTGTTATTTTTGAACTGGGGAAATTTTAATTTTTCTTGTCTGTTTTCAAAAAAGTAGGCATCCACTCGACAAATTAATTGAAACTGAATAATTTTGCTACCATGGCAACGTGACGTAACGACTTAGATATAGCTTATAACGTCCCCTATTGTCCCCTATAGAGCGTGCTGTGTACGATGTATGACATCATCGTGTTCAGAAGCCGCGTTTTTGTCCGTCCACACGAAAACGACAATCCGGCGGCGTTTAAAAAAAAAACCCTCAATGAGAACAATTTTCAAAAACCTTTGTTTTTTTTGTGGCCAAAAGTGCCTTTAAAGTGTGAACAGAAGGCTAAAACGGGGGAAAAAATTATTCCTTTTCAAAAATATTCGGATACGTGGGGACGCGAGGACTTATTATCCTTATTTTACAATTAAACTGTCAAGTTTGGAAGCACTTAACAGATTAGTTATTATTTACAACTTGAGTTTTAACTATCAGTGTTGGAACAACCATCTTTCTTGTGGTACTACAAGCAACTGAGCTCGTTTATCATTAACACATTGGCAGGAATTGAAAGCCATAGCAGCAAGAGTGTAGTTTTAACCCTATTCAGACTGGGCTTTTTTGGTCACTGAATCTGTGACGGGGGCTCCTCGGATCCCCCCCCCTCTGTATCTCTGGAACCAATAATGCTAGGGTCATGAAATTTACACGCAATGATCATCTCCGTACAAAGAAGCCCCACACCCAGTTTTGCCACGTCCAATGATGACGTCACAGTGACGCCATAGTCCGTTTTTTCAGTGTTTCTTATTATTTTTCCACTTAGATACGTAAAATATCAATAATATTGGTAAAGCCATCTCTTTGTTATCCTTTCTTATGAACTAGTAACAAGGAAACACTTGTACAGCGAGAAAAAGCAATAGGAAGCAATAAAATTTAAAATTTGAAATGGTTGTCCGCCATCTTGGATCCGCCATCTTGGATTTCCGTTTTTTGTTAAAATTATAATTTAAAGCAACTTTCAAAGGGGAAAAAGCTCAGAATGTATAAAAGAAGTATTAAACTAATGTTTATTACCCAAACAAATGACTTTGGAATTTCGATGTTGAAACATTTTGATGTAATTAAAAAACTAGTCCCACGCAAAGACCATTTTAACAACAAAAGGTACTATAAGTGTAAAAACGCGATCTTAAAACAAAAAAATCACCATTTTTTACATTTTCCAAAAACTATGTGTCAGAAACTGGTGGCCATGGCAACATGATTAATCACATGGACATGGTAATTATACCAAAATGTTCCTAGATAAATTTTAGGAAAAGTCAGAAAATTTGAACGTCATAGCTCTTTCGGTGTAGGCGTTATCACGATTTTGCCGGAGGGGGGGGGGTCGAAAAGCCCCCCCCTAGTCTGAATAGGGTTAAATAAGTAAATTGTATTGCTTCGGAAAGTTTCTATTTTTCACTCTACTTTTGAATATCTATTTAGTCAGCTGCTCCACTTAGGTTTCCATATGTGGCCTTGATTTATCATGGAATTATAAAATAACTGAGATAGTACGCGTGATCTGATTGGTCAAAAACCTATGGTTTATTATACCGGTAAACCCATAGAAAAAGGCATCCGGACCACGCGCCATAAACAAAACCGGCTATTGATCTGCAAACAATGATTTTAGAAAGGCTAAAAAAAGAACAAGTTACTTACCCAGCCCTTCTTAATATCAAAAGCGTTGGTTTCCACATTTTATTACTGCCATAGCTTTAGAAGTAATAAAGTACAAAGCTGGAAAGCAGTTTACATTTCACGACGATGCCAAATCGCTGAGAAGGGCAACAACTGTGTGAATTTCTGGTGTAGAAAGTCTCCAGGAAAACTTGACCATGTGCCAACCAGCAACAAAACGGATAGTTTTAGCATTCTTGATTTATTTTATGTCAAAATTAAATTCCTTAATGAAAGAAATTGTTCCAAAAAGAGATCTCTGATCAAGATATGGTACAAAATCGGCCGCTGTATGTTGTAAACAAGCTGCCAACGATGATGAAAGATGTCAGAGTTTCGGGCTGGTTTTTTCCAACATTTGCACAAATTTTTCGGTGATATGGATTCCATAACCTACCTCAAACCACCTGACTTTACAAATCGACAAATATTAACGCCAATATGTGGCTACGGCAAAGAAACTTTTCTCCACCACTGGCATATTTTCTTCGGTCGCTGTACGTGCATATGAAAGTTACATGCGACAACTTCGCAAATGCAGCCACGTCGTTACCGCAGCATTTCTTAATCATAATAAAGTCCAGAAAACAGATCTGAAACCACTGCGGCTTGTAAAATGTGAATGAAGTCCTCCATTACAATAGCTGCCAGTTCCGTCTGTAAGCACAAAATTCTTACTGATCGGCTCAACAAAATACAGCGGCGTACAGTCTGATGTTCAATTAATTTCTACTTCGGTAGTAAACAAACCATGAACGTATTTTTTCATTGTACGTTCGCTTGAATAAATGTTGACTTTTCCTGTAAAACAGCTTTCATAAGTTATCATGTAATGAGTGCAAAAACTCGTGTTTTGAAGTGCTGCTGTTTGTTGTTTTACTGAACTGAGTTTTAAGAAAGTTCAACGCTATTAAATCGTGAGTCATGATTGGCTTATGATGACTTTAGAGAGAAGACGTGACTTGATCACGGTACTAAAACCATATTTTTTACCGAAAAGACTCCATTCTACTAAAAGTTATTTTATAACTCGAAAAGCTTGTAAATCACTCGCCTTCGGCTCGTGATTTACAAGCTTTTTCTCGTGTTCTCCCAACATCCCGCGTGGGTTATCACGCCGGTAAACCCATAGAAAGTGTGGTCTATTGCTTAATTATTTCATTGGTTGTCTTTATAATGCTGTTAATTAAGTGACATTCCTTATACAGCCTTGGTGAACACAATTGAAGTATATCTTGTGAATAATAACCGATAGCAGAAATAATCCAAAACTGTAAGTACCACGATAATATGCGATAACACTGGTAAAAATGTCGCTCCCATCCTTTTCGCTTCACACTTCAAATTCTGAAATTCACCTTCGCTACAAAATATATAGAAATATAGCAAAAATATTCGTATCCAAAGAGAATAATGGGTCCACTGGATTTTATAATCTCTTACTCGCTTTCTATAACATAACAAAATCATTAATGGCTGTGGAAAGAACAAGATCGATGGACAAAAATTTCTCGGTTAGTGCGAAAATGTTTAATCCTATCCATACAATAGCTTTATCGGTACATGGAATGTGTGGTTTAGCTACAAATAGATGAGCGGTTAAAGGTTTCCACTTTACCCCATTTTTCTGGCAACACCACTAGAAGAGATTATCATTTTCGTCTTGTTATGGAAAGTTTAACTGGAAGCAATATGAGATCAGCGAGGGCCTGCCTACATACTTATCCTGAAACCATTTCATTGGTTATCTTTATACTGATACCATAACAATTCCACCCTGATAAAAAGAGATTGAAGTATCTTCTAAAGTGTAACATACAACTTGACAGAAACAAAGTTTAGCCATCATGATATTGAACAAAAAGATATTACGTACGTTGACGATTAAATCCACTGGCAAAAAACTCACTAGCGACCTTTTTTCCCTCACAATTTAACGACTGACATTTGTTAATGTGCTAATGTTATAATATAGAATACCATCATTTTTTCTTTGATCACAGACTTAATTTGTTAGTGGGGGTGATAAGAAAACAGATTAAGGGCCAAAATCTCTCTAAGTGCGAAATGGTTTACTGTGTTAAGCTAATCTGATTTAAATTTGCATATGACAGGTGTCTTTGTACAACAATAAATGTACGACGGTTGGTTCGCTTTTTGCCACTTTTGGAACATCTTCAGGGGAGATTATTTGTCTGTCGTCCAGTCATGGAATACCAAAATTACACCAACTCGACGTCGGAGAGAATCTGCCCGCAGGCCTCGACTTTGGTAAAATGCATCAAAACAGTCGCTTACTCGTCCCTCATGTTAACTTCGCTGCTTGGAAACTTAGCTGTAATTGCAATCGTGTCAAAAAACAAAATGATGCGGACGACAACGAATTACCTGATCGCTAACATGGCCGCTTCTGATCTATTAATCTCTGCCTTCGCAGTACCACGAGAACTCGCGCAAATTTTTGCTGGTTCAGAGATATGGCTTCTCGATGGCTTAGCAGGTTCAATATCTTGTAAGCTGGTCTACTTTCTCCAAGACATTTCAACGGCAGTATCTATACAAAGCCTCGTAGCCATAGCAGTTGACAGATATCAGGGAGTCGTCTTTCCATTCCGTCCTCCAGTTATTACATCCAAGGTCTGTAAGGTAATAATTGTGGTTATTTGGATGGTGGCGATGGGTCTACACGGAACTTATTTCTATACCGCGCGGCTGGTAAAGACAGGCCAGAAGTGGTCTTGCACTTTTTGCTGGGCACCGAAGTTTGAAGAGCATACACAAGAACGATACTTTCTTTTCGTTTCCATCTTTTTAATTTTCTTTCCTCTAATTGTGATTCTAACTTTATATGCACTGATAGTTATAGAACTAAAGAAAAAAGATCCTACTGAAAATGGAACATCAAGAATAAGGCGACAGAGGCAGAAAGAAAACAGAGCCATTGTCAACAAGATATTGATCATTGTCTTTCTGTTCATCTTGTGCATTTTTCCAATAACTATTTTAGGACTTGTTCATTATTTTTTGTGGGATGGGCGAGATACATGTGCAACGACAAAACTATTTACAGCCATGAAATTCTTGTTATATTTGAATGCCTCTTTAAACCCGTGGGTTTATTTAATATTAAATGAAAGGTATCGGAAAGGATTAAAAGTTTTAGTTAACTGTCGTTTACTTAAACAGCCTTACAGAAATGAAATAGAGATGAATTGAACGTTTTGTAACCGATAAGTTACTCAAGGTAAATAAGTTTAAGAGACAATTATTCAATAAAGTAAATAACACCATTAAATAAAGTAATATATTCAAGTCTTTGAAATCTCTGCACCTCATCGGAGAGGCCTGGATAAACAGCAGAATATGGCCCCCTAAGTGCTGGAGCGTGTTTATGCTGTCAGTAAGAACAAATAATGACATAGAAGGCTGGCATCACGTCCGGAACCGAAGAGCTGCTGGCCTCTGTGGACTTCCCTTCTACTTGCTTGTGTCCTTGCTAAACAACGAGGCCCGCCTGGTGTCACTGCAGATTCGGCTTGTGTCTGAGCGCAAGCTGAAGCGGATCCAGAGAGCCGCCTACCGCCAGTTACAAAGCCGGCTCTTTGAGCTGTGGGACGCATTTAACAAGAGAGAGAAATCCCTTAAGCAATTACTGAAAGGTTGCGCAAACATCAATAGGCCAGTGATCGTCTAAAGTACTTGAAGGACTAGCCTGCGAAAACATCCGAAAAACTGGGCACTAACCACAATGTAAACAACTTTAGCATTCACTCATTTCTCGAGCAAACTGTTGTTGAAGGAGCAAATGATTATCCCTGTTAAAAAAACGTTAAACAACGCTGGTCATATCGACGCAAAATTGATCGTTTTTAGCGAAATTTGCCAAAAAAAACCCAGCGAAATCGGCTGTTTTTTACTGATTGTTTCTTGGCGAAGTTTCCCCGTGAAATCGGCCGATTTTTCTATGAATTTGCCCCTGAAAATCCTTCGAAATTTGACTTTTTCCGCTAAAATGCCGCGAAATCGGTCGATTTTCCTGCGAATTTTGACTTTTCTCCCGCGAAATCGGCGGATTTTTCCGCGAATTTTGACTTTTTCCCGCAAAAATCCGACGAAATCGGCCAATTTTTCCGCAAGTTTTGACTTTTTTCCCGCGAAAATCCCGCGAAATCGGCCGATTTTTCCGCGAATTTGCCCCTGAAAATCCCGCGAAATTTTGCGTTTTTTTCCGCGAAATATCAGAAGCCCTGATCAAGTCTTTGTTTTGACCTGAGGGAAACATACATTATCGCGCAAAATTGTTCGATCGTGCCGAATCACTGCGACGTCGAGAAAAACAGAACCAAGCATCATTGGTATACTACTCCACTATAAGCAGTCCGTTGATAAAAAGGGAAAGTAAACTCTGCTATTTTCCAAAAATATGCTCGAACACAAACAGTTCAAAAACATGGCATTTACAGGATCTAACTCGTACTAAGGTGCCTCTCTAAGTCCGTTGAGAACAATCTGGACGAGCAAACGGTCGTGTTTATCTTTGCCGTGAATCCAGATAAATACAAGAAGGAATCTAGCCGAATTTTATAATGTTTCCTTCGCCAGGTGTTTAGTTTGGGCACGAAACTCATGGCCTGATGCTCTTGTAATCGTTTACCAAAAACGGCCGCCGCCAACTCGATAGCCGCTTTATTATATGTTCACATACTTTGAGCACAAGAAAAATCCAAGAGCCAGCAACCTCTAAAATAACTCAATAGAAAGGTTCTGATCTGTGAACCATAGGGAAGATTCCATCAAAGATTCCATCACTCATTGTGGAGTAGCCGTCATTAACTCTGCCATTACAACGGCCGCTGATAAGAGGTCACAGTAAATCCACGTAAAAACATTCCACAGGCAAACAATTTCAAAATAACGCCAAAAAATTATTCTGTAATCACCATAGAACGATTCTTAATACAAAACTTCGCTAACTATCGAACGATGGCTGAGATTTAGACTGATAAAAACAGCCTTGCAAAATCTCCGACAGAACTTGAAAAAGACAGGCCAACTTTTTCAAGTTTGTTTTCATTGGTTCGCGCATGCGTGTGGGGTGACATAGCCCCTTTAAAGGCAGATTAAAAGCCAATTCGAAATTAAATCTTTCAGTAAACCTATTATTCTCATTGATTGCCGTATCCTCTTCAGATACAACATATTGCGTCCCCGGGGCTAATAGCGTCACACACTTGCATGTTCAGTTTCAGACTGGCAATTTCCCTCAAAAAATGGTATATAAAAAGGTCAAACAGAAAAATAGAGGGACTGTGATAACATCACTGCTGCTTGCGGTCAGTAGGCGTGACAGAAATTTCACGCCTTTTATCATTCATTAATTAAGAAACTCCTATGGCGATGAAAAACATGCTAGACACGTTTTGCATCAATTTCGCTTGCTTACAAATATCTCCTTTCAAAGCACAGGCAGCCCAAGCGCACTATGTTTGGGTTGGGGCTTCAGAGGTCGTTTGGTCGGAATATACTAGAACTAGGTATACCTATCGATAGAGTGCCAACGAGGAAATCACGCGTATTTTTCTTAGGAATAAAATTCCTTTTTTTCCCATTTGACCGTTTCTTGGTCCCTTCCTGTTGCAAGGATTATTTTCTTGAAAAGTTCTCAGATTCAGTCTGGTGGCTTTACAAACCTGCTATGTAAAAGTGTGAAGTGCCTTGAAAGAATAAAGTCAGCTTTGCAGAGGAAGCGATCGGGAATATTATCAAGTCCAGCTACAAATCTACTGTCGGTTCGGTTTCACATTGTTGATAAATATTTGCACAGTTTAATCATTTAACCCTCCTTTCAAATTTCCCGAGGCTTTTTGTTATCGGATTGAAGCTTAGAATGATTCGCTGGGCCATCTGAAATGTTTTCAAGGACATGCGATGTACGGCACGTCGGTATTTAATTTTAGTTCATTATTTTTATACTGAACTCGGCCAGGTTTCGAAAATAATGGCGTTGTTTGCTTTTCCTTTGTCGTTCGCTTTAGGCTTGTAATCCGTTTTTGTTCTCATTGATTTTGTTTGCTGGTTAGATGTTTTCCCCAACACCAGATTTTCCAACAGAAGCGACTGCATTCTTCGTGTCAAGCTTTCCTTATCTCCTCGTGTAATCTGATCCTTTTTAGTGGTGAGAATATTGCTTGCTGCACATAGAACACTTTTGCTGTTTTACAAACTTCTCTTCGTTAAAACTTAACATTATGGCCCCTAAAATTAATAGAATATATCAAGTGCTCATGTCTCTTGACGGCGGTGGCCGGGTTTGACGAAAAAATTTAGGTAAATAAACACAGGAAGTCACGACGGCGGGAAGTGTGTGAAATTTTGTTTGTTATTCAGCTTGAGCCCGTGCGCCAGGTACTGCCTTTTGATTGGTTCACAACTGACCACTTGGTCTCAGGGGAATCTACATTACATTGGGTTACACTTTTTTCAGCTCGATCGAGAATTTTTCTGCCTATTGCCCAGTCTTACGCGGCTCTATTCTGCTGCCGCCTCGCCATCCGAGCGTCTTCGCTCGGATGGCTCGTTGGCAATTATTAGTGTATTATCTGATGCCAAATAAATGCAAAAATCTTAAAGATAAGAAGTCTTCTTGTCTGTCTATCTGTACTAGTGGCCTTTAAGATAAAGAAGGTCGTAGTTGCAATGCCATATGGGTTCATAGGATTAGCCATGGTCATTTACTGTGTCATCCGGTGCATGGTTCCTTGAATATACAGGAAGTGATGGCCTGGTGCAAAGTAAGCATAAATTCACCATTTAGTCCCAGATTGGTCTCCTTTAGGGGTTTAATTCAAAATTTCCGGCGAGCATCCCCACCCCTTTCATATGCGGATCCCCCCCGGGGAAAGGACACGTCGGGCGAGCAAGATGTGTTGAGTAAAAAGACGCAATCTCCAAGTGAGATAGTATCTTTCACAGTGCGCATGAGTAGGGACAGTAGATCGAACGTGGTTAGGTCTGTATAAAAGACTTGTTGTCTATTTCGTGCGGCCATTCCCGGCTGTCACCATCCCTTTGACGCATAGTTGAAAATTTTTCTCAGGTAAGTTCTTTTTCGTCATAAGTCATTATTTATCCTATTTTCTTTCCTTTGTCTACTGAGCTTTCGTAGGATAAGTACATAGGCGTACGGGCAATTTTTTGCCAGAAGGGGCGGTAAACCATTTGCCCATAAAATTATCGCAAGTTGCCCAAATTTTTACGAAACAGTCGTCTACGAAAAGAAACGAGGGCCATACTTTGCAACAACCATACAAACGTCTGTAATATTTCGCGAATTTGAGGCGGCTGTATCTTCGCTCGCTTAAGACGAATCATTATCAAATTTGGCAGTTTTACTAATTTTAGGGTGCTCTTTCCCATGTCAACGGATTTTCCCGAACTTGTCCATGTCAAAAGTTGAAAAAAACTGTGGAAAGGTCTATCAGAAGGGGTCAATATAAGCTCTATCTTAGTCTCAGAGGAGGAGAACTTAAGAGCAAACGTCTGTAAAAATCGAGCAAAATCGACATTTCGCGGCCACAGTCAAAAAATCATTTTCGCTCATATCTTGTCCATAGATAGGTATAAGTAAGTAATTAAACGTGGTGTAATTTGTTTTTCAAAAGGCCGCTTGGATTTGGAGAAAATCGACAAAATCAATTTTCATGGTCGGCAACTTGAAAACAATCAAAATTTGAGGCAAAATGAGGCGGTCTCAAAACTTCGCTCGCACGCACACAGGAAGAAAGCGGGGTAAAATATTCCCCGATAAATCAATTTATAGAGGGTTCTACTTCTGGTTTGGTCATGAATTCTTATCTTCACGCTAATCTGGAAGATAAACAATGTTATTTCTGTTTGGATTCTTTTTCAACTATTACGAAATTTAAATTTAGGCTGGTCGCATCAACGGTAATTTACCAAAAGTTGGCTCGGCTGGAAGGCTGACCCACCTTGTCCAGTCACCCTTTTGTAATGGTAGGGTTAGGCTCCTAGCCGGGCTAACTATTCTCCAAAAACACTTTACGCGCTTTTCGGAAAATCCACGTACCCAGTGGAATGGTCCAGTTGCACAGACCAAACAAAAGCCACCGCGAGTTTGGTTATCGTGCTTGTAAGCAGGATACAGATCAGCATTCCTGGGGAAAATAATTTTGTCAAATGGAAGGGGACATTTCGGTCCGACCGACCAGATCAATTCCGATCCATATCGGTAAAGGGCTCGCATAGCTAAGGTGAGACGATTAGAGCATGCACGAAGGCTGGTTGGGGTCAATGTTTTTTTTTTTCTCTCGGCTGGGAGGGTGACCCTCCTACAAGGGACAGCAGATTTTCTTCATATGAAGGGAATTAAAATTTTCGGATACGAAATTGTGATAGAGAAGGAATCAGAGAAAATTTCAAAGCTCTCGAAAAAAATAATTTGGAAGCCCATTAATTTTGATCGAAAAGAATACTCAAGTTGCTCTGTGGATGACCGAACAGATTTTATAACTATATGGCACCGCATAGAATTTAGTACTGAATTTAGATAACCTAAAAGGGTTTTCAATGTATTTAGGAGGAAACTGTCGTTGGGTGCCCCTGTCAACTATCGCCTAACGCTTCCACTACTTTCTTCACCCACGATAGTTTTTTTCCGTTTTACTCTCGGTCATT